CTCAACGTTACCCAACATTTTTTCCATTACAGGGGACTTAGTATGTTTTATAACTGTATATCTATTCTAGTTGATCAATGTTATTTATTACTCTGATTAGGACTAGTGAGAGTTAGAATGGGGAAAGAGAATTAAAAGTGGCCTGTGCTTTAAAGAATGCTTGCTCTCAAAACAAAATTGGAGGTCTTCAACCTCCCTATAGTAAAGACCCAGACACATTCTGCAATTAAAAAACAAGCCAGAGTTTTAAAATGGAGAAAAGACACCCAGAAACAAGCTAATGAAGCAGGTAACTTGAGCTAATAGAGAGAGCCAGCAAGCATGACCCAGTGGAAGCCCATTGCCTAGATCCTGTTAGTGATGAGTGGATGAAAGTTCAAAGACCCGTTCAGGCAACAGATGCTCCATTCAGCTACCTGAGGGCCTCCTTGACATTCAAATATAGCTGAATACAAGTAATCTTTCAACACCTTAGATTCTTCTTGGGGAAAAAAAAAAAAACAAAAAAACAATGCCATTGAGAAAAGGATCGTCCTTTTCTCATCCTCTCTTGGGATCCTTAAATCCCCAAGGCGGGGTTCCTTCTACCAATTCTGTCTTGTCATTTTTCCTTTAGAGACCAGCCTCCTTGCCTTGTTATCAACATGTAACAGAGCTGTAGCAAGGTGCCACCAGGGCTCTGTGAGAGCAAGAGTAGCTCCTGGCTAGGGAGACTTAGCAGTCAGTCCTACCTTGTTCTTCAAAACGCAGGGGCCATGTGACATTCCAGAAGACACCCTGGTGGAGCCAGAGGCAGCTGTTCTGCATGCCCACCCTGCCCCACCCAGCCTCAGCCATCCTGTAGGGCAGAACCACTTCCTGCAGGACTGGAAGGAGTGGGATGGCCACCGCAGGAAGAGTTGCTCCATCCCTTTTATCAACTCTTCTTTTTACTTTTGCCCACCTCGTCCACAGTTCCTTAATTTTTTCTTCTGAAAGTGAAAAATTATATTTTCCTGAATTCTACGTCTTTTTCCCCTTAGATCTTCTAGATTTCTATTTTTAAAGCAGAACAAAATTGCATTTTACTCTCCACAATTTCCGTTCATTTCTCAGCAACATTTGGTAAAATTTCTCACTGTTGTGAAACTAGTAGGCAAAATTCCCTTTTAAGTTTCTTAGAATTCTCCTTTTAAGTTTCTTAGAGAAAGGGCCCTTCACTTCCCACCCCCAGTGCTAGAAAGAGCTACTACCTTATGTTTCTATGGCATTGCGTGCTTTCCCCAGAGACATTGTCTCATTTGGTCCTCACATTCTCTCTGTGAAGTGTTTAATTATATTTGTTTTATATGATCAAGAGCTGTAAACTACAGATGTGTGAAAGGTACCAGATGGAGCAGGTTTAAGTCCAAGAAAAAATCCAAAAGTTCCTCCTCATTTATTATTGACAATTTATTTTTGTTATTAAACATTCAAAAGAAGCATCCTAGTTCTCTTACCACCTTACCATTCAAATATGTAGGAAAGCAAAAGGGAGAAGGATTCTACTATATTTCTTCTCAGCTCAATAGCTATATGAATTTTAAATAACTATCTTCCTCCCCTTAGTCCTAATGTTTTATTTTAAACTGACACATAAAAACCTATCAATCGCACCTACTAATGTGATGTACATGTGTTCATTGTGTGATGCACATGTGTTCATTGTGTGATGCTTACATCAGGTTCAACTCTGTCTCCTCAGATTCTACCATTTCTTCATGGTGAAATCGTTCAGAATCCTTTCCTGTAGCTTTTTGAGATACATAGTACGCAACTGTTATTTATAGTTACCCTAGTTTGTAACAGCACACCAGGGCTTCTCACTAATGTTTTATAACAATGAATTGCAGGCAAAGCAAAAGCCACAGCATTACTCAGTTACCATTTGCACAAACAATTTTATCACATTTAAAAAACAGTCTCCTACACCCCCCACCCCATCCACAGTACAGCCCACGCACAGGGCCTGGGCTGAGGCGTATACAGGGTAGGTTTACTTAGCCATCTCTTTCCGTACAGTCAGTGTAAGAACGCAGCCTGTGGTAAGCTCCAGGAGGCCTTACCACAGTTTTGAGGAAGAAATTTCTAACTGAGTTCTGATAGTTTTTAAATGTACTTGTATATTTATCAGACTCCAGGAAATGATAAAATGGGAGTTGTCTGAACCTCTTTTTTTATGAACTTAAATACATTAACTAGCTGACCATATAATAATTTGGGGCTACTTATATAAATACATTCTGGCTTCAGAGCTAAGCTAATGGTTTGGCTATGGCTGAATATAGATGTGCTTTTCAATTAGGGCCCAAAATGTAAGCACTAAAAATTATTCTGCATATTTTAGTGACACGTATTAGTTGCTCAATCTCTTTGAAGAACATATATAAATCCCACTATGCAAATATGTTACCATATAACTCAAAATAAGTGTAATAGAACATCCCTTATTCATGTCACTAGTAAAAATTTCTCTGTACAATTAAATCTAAATTTATCTAAGTGTCTAAAAAATATATTTCTATAAAGACATTTTAAAATTTTTAGTAATTAAAGAAGGCTTCATTTGTCAGTAACTATAGCTTCTTTTTCTCTGACAGGGTGAAATAGAGGTACTCTGTGAGTTTCCTCATGTACAAAGGTTCCATACATATTTCAGAAATACTTCTAAGTTTAGTGTACTGATTCCACTACCAAGCACCAGATCTGGGCTTGCTACAGGTACACTACTCAATCTGTATTCAAATCTCAATGTCTCAAAAAATGAGAGCTGCTTACAGATGAGGACCTTTTTGGTAGATCACTTTGAGCAACAACATATTAAAGAAATGAATCAGCACAGAAAGAACTAACGCTTCCATGTCTGACTATTTTGTGAATAGTAAAGAATGTGCCTTTAACAGAATAACTCAAATGGTCCACAAACATTGAAGGCAGTCAATGAGTCTTGCAAGAATTCCAAAAGGAATAATACATTTTTCCAGACCTTGGCGAGTAGACTTGGCCAGTAGATGAGCTGGGAGAAAGAGCCCATATACATCAAAAAAAAGAGCTATGTTTACAAAGCTCACTCAGGTCGCCTCATTCCCCAAATCATATTTTATTATCATCATTCAACTTCAAATTTATATTATGTTGTATCACTTGCAATTATTATTTTCTAGCAGTTACTACTGAAATTTAATGAGAATAGAATCTAAATTTTAGATTTGATATTGTCAAAACAAAATTGTTTTAAGTCTCTATAGTAGGCTAAGTTACTTCATAAAAATTCAACTTTATACTTTTATCCTAATCTAATAGTTTTACTTATTTAGTTATTTTAATTTATTTGCATGTTGGTTAGCATAAATATCAAGACTTTAAAAGGATGGATCCATAAACACAGATGCCTCCTCAAATTACTAAATGAATGCAGTCTCCATAGATCTAACCTTGTTTTCAGTGAAATGTCCACAGTGATAAAGAAGGTAGTCAAGTTCCCTTTATTTCTGTTCTTAGAAAATGATACTTGAATGAGAAATCAAACATGTGTGGAAATAGCTACTTCTCAGGAATTTCATAACCCAGCAGTAACTTTCCATTATCAGAGTACTGTACCCTAAACAGAGGATTAAGACACAAGATGAAGACTGGAATTGCCAGAAGATTCTAAACCAAATAGCCACTTCTACTTGTTTATGGAAAAATTATGTCTTGTTTACTTTTTATCAAGCCAGTTTTTGTTGAATAGCAATTCTCTCAAACACTCTGCAAGCAGAGTTAAAAGCAATAAGGAAAATATTTGGCATAATGCTATTTCTTGGGCAGTTATTGTTGCTCTAACTAATTTTATTCCTGCCCCTCAAGTTAACGCCCATGAACTATCATTGGTATCATCTCTCTAGACTAAACACAAAGGGGGAAAGCAAACAGGACTCAGTCATCAACAGGATGTAAGGGACTGCTGCATGGTTAGCAGAGGGGAGAGATGGATTCGCTCAGCAGGCACACGCTGAGCATCGTCTGCGTGCCAGACACTGCCCACCCCTACAGACATGGAGCCAGGCTCAGTAAGCTCACATCGTAGAGAGACAAATGAGAGCACATCAGATGGTGTGCACAAAGGGTGGTTTATGTTGCAGAGAGAGAAATGAGTCCAAATGAGGTAGTCAGGAAGATTCATGGAGAGGGCAAAATAAGAGCTAAGTCTAGGGGTTTGACTTAAAAAAAAAAAAAAGACTCCTTGCTAGGTGTGGTGGCTTGTGCCTATAATCCTAGCAACTGGGAGGCTGAGACAGGAGGACTGTGAGTTCCAGGTCAGCTCGGGCTACATTGCAAGATCCTGTCAAAAAAAAAAAAAAGAAAGAAAAGAAAAGAAGGAGGGAAAGAAGGAAAGAAAGAGGGAGGGAGGGAAGGAAGAAAGAAAGAAAGGAAAGAACAAGGGAAGGAAGGAAAGCAAGAAGGAAGGAAGGAAGGAAGGAAGGAAGGGAGAGAGGGAGGGAGGGAGCAAGGAAGGAAGAAAGAAGGAAGGGACTTTTTATGAGCTAGGTGATGGGTAGAAGTGCATTTCAGACAGATGGAAAAGCATGAGCAGAGTCCCAGAACAGGAAACAAAGATACCATGATTATTAGAAAGATCTTGGCTCATATCCAGTGAAAGCAAAATGAAAGGTAGGAAGGCCAGTGTAACTGACACAGGGGTGTAACTAATGTCTGGGGATTCTTAACTGGGACACAAGAGTGCTGAAGTTGCAACCTGAGCCAAGTAACAGCTCACCTTACTTCTTTTCTCATGCTCCTAAAACTACAAACTCAAAAATCATGCAACCATGAGCCAATGGTAGGGTGAGTTGGTGAGGAACAGTAGCCATGATCTCCCTGTTTCCAAGGAAGGGATGCCTTTGCCCAAATACACTGCACATGCCATTTGTGTCCATCAAAGAATCATTTGGGGTGGCAAAAAGCACTTGAAAGTTAATCAAGAAACATACTGTCCCTACCTTGCTTTGGAATGACTATGGTTACAGGGGCGCCAGAACCACTTGATCGCAGGTTGAGGGATTCCAGAGACGGTACAAGTCAGGACTTGTCTGCTGCCTATTGGGTAGAGTGTTGGGTCTGGAAATGATGACACGGACTTCTCATAAATCTGGGGTTTCACTGGAAAGGAGACAGAACAGGACAGAAGTCAAGCACTGCTCCTGTGACTTTCTCCTGGGCCTTCCCTGAAGGACTAGTCTCATTGGTTTTGATGCCAAGGAAACAAAACACAAATAAGCCCTTATATTTCTCAAGAAAATGCCTATTTCAAAAACAGAAGTGTTTTAAGAACATTAGTAGTTTGAGTCTATGGTATGTATGCTGTGATTACAATGACAAAAAATCATGTCACCTATGGAAAATAAGCAAACATGAAATAGTTATGGTGGGAACAGAAGTAAGGTTTTGTTTTGTTGTTGTTGTTTACTTTCCTTTTTGTGGTGATGGGGATTAAACCTACAGCCTTGTGCATGCTAGGTAAACATTCTACCTCTGAGCCACATACCCAGTCCCAGAAGTGGTTTGTAAAATAATTATTTAAAATTCTCTTTTCTTTGACAGTGTTATACTGCCTTTGGAGTTGACAATTTTTCACCAATTTTCCCCTTCCCACAACCCAAAGAATGTCTGAAATGTAAACTTACCATTTACAATTAGAGTGGCAGTGAGATTTTTAAACACATTTGACTGTTTTATGCCCAGCAAGATTGTATAATCCCCTGCATCCTCTGTAGTTACATCTTTGATAATTAATGAATAGCCATGAACCAAATAGCGAGCAGATTTCTCTGTTGCAGGTGACCCGTCTTTCAACCTGTGGTTAACAGCATGAAGGGTAAGTCACTTCATATGCCTAGCCAACATCTCTTTCCTAACACTGCCATTTCCGTGTGCAACCTCAATTTGATTAATTTTGAGCTTTTGTATGCCAACATCGATTCTAAAATTTTGGCTGCTAACTATTCAGTAAAGGCAGGTGTGGGTTTGGTATGAGTAACACTTCATATTCATTAGCAAAGAAGAATAAACTGAGGGGAGAAAGAAAAGTGATAGCTTAATGTACCCACAGGGATGCTGGTTTAAGTATTAACCCAGAAGAACAGGCTCTGATTCCTCCCCAGATGTTTTCCATGAGGCTCCATGGGCAGTACAAGAGCCATTGTAAATTAGATCAACCAAATCACTTCTCCAGATAAAAATAAAAATAGATGTTCCTATTGTGGTCTCATGTGGAGTACTTATTAGTTATTTAAATGGTCACACCAGTTGGCCCCTTCATAGTGAAACTATAGTGAAATCAAGATATTTCCCCCTAAGGAAGAACTATTAAAGCACAAAACAAAGTGCTTTAAAACATTTAAAAACATTTAAAAACATTTTAAATATAGAATCAATGGCTTGCTCTCCTCACTTTCATATAGCAGTATGAGTCAGGGGGTCTGGATGCCTGGCTTGGCTTAGCCACTGACTGCACTGATGCAAATGGGACTGACCAATTTGAGCTTCAAGGTTCTCAAATTTTTTAGAGGGTCTCAAAGAGCCCTTTAAACTAAAAGATTCTATTTCATTTAAGTGTGCATTTCTTATAAATAGACCTTTTTAAATCCATCAGGAATTTATTGGGTCCTTTAACAAGGTATAATACTGGAAATGGTATCAGTTTATAATCAGGATGTAGTCCTGCATACAAATTCCCACTACAGTGGGTCTCAATTCCAAAGCAGTTAAAATGATTGTGCTTTGTTTTATGATTACAAGTATCAGTTTAATATTACTTAAAATTATTTCCTACTTCTATGTTAATTTTTGAACCCTTGCTACTTACTTACTGAAGACATGAGCACTATCAAAGGGTGTGCATGCCCTGAGAGTGAATGCACCTTTTGCTCATTAAAGTACTCTTAAATTTTCTATTATAGTTGGTAATTTACTATTTACCTTTTTAGATATTATGAACCAAAAAAAAAAAAAAATCTCCTTTCTATTGCAATAGCATGAAGGCATAGCACAGAGTTTAACTTTTCTCTTTAATTCCCTGTTAGGTATTTGAGGAAACTCCAAACTCTCTACTCAGATGATATTGAAAGCCAAACAGGCTCTGGCTAAGCAGATTCCAAAATGGTACCACTTCTATATTGCATGGCTTGTGTTCCTAATCTGTTTTGTACCATACCCTTTGTTTAAAATGTAATGACTTGAGCCAAAGATACTGGTATTTAAAAGTAATTTATCAAAATGACTGCAGATTATAAACAGATTACATTGTTTTACATAGGTGCTGTACTGGTATTCTTTTTTTTTTTCTTTTCTAGAAAAAAACTGTGTAAGGAGTTTTTAAATATGCAAACTTCAAGCCAAAACAAACTTAATTTGTTCAAGAAGGTCCATTCATCCACCCTTACAAATGAATACGTCTTGTCTCTATTAATGTTTGTTTAATTTTAAAACAAGATTGGAATTTCCAACTCAGCTGCATATAAAGGAATTATTTCAGCATCCTCATTAAAAGGGTCCACTTCTTCAGGGTTAATAGAGCATGTTACACATTCAAGATGCTGCCTAGTTATGGCCTAACACATCTCATTCAAAGAATGTTGACATCATAGGAAGTTTTCGAGATGCAGAAATTTAGTCTCGGTGAGGGACTGAGCAAACTGAAATGAGCATCTCGGTTCTTGCTTCACCCCTTCCTCTCGAGCTTTCCTTGCCCTCACCACCCAGAAATCAACACAGCTCTTAGCTCTCTAGTGCTGCGTCGAGCAACTTCTTAGGATATTTAAGTCACTGAGCTCTTGCATTGCCCTACACATCTTCAACGGATATGAAAATGCTTATGGTCCTACCATACAACGTCTGGAGAGGGAAAGGCCTTCACTTTCATGGAGAGCCGGTAGGATCGCTTGCCTGCTATGGTTTCATGCACCTGCTGTTTCCGATGTTTCACGGTGATGAATCCTTTCTCTTTGAAAGGCGAAGTGATAGATACATTAGAAAAGAATTCATCCATGCAAACAAAACCTCACTGCCTCATTAAGGGAGTGCAATCACTGGATAAACCAGCACAGCTGAATTATGATGGAACTTACTCTTGAGGCCAAATGTTGACCAATGAATAGAATATTTCTAAGTTCTCTAGCTGGTGAAATGCTTTCAGATTAAATATTAGCAAGAGCTGGAGGCATAAAGCAGTGGCAGAGCAACAGGAAGACATTTCTAAAGGCATATCTGGCCAATATGAGTAAGATGGAAAAATCAGTTTGATATAAAAAAATCATCTACTGAAGGCAAAAGGAAGTAAGAAACTAGATCTGCTTTGTAGTTTTGCTCTCCATACTGTTTTCCTTTTCGACAATGGACATAAACAACGTTTTTAAAGCATTTTCTTTACAGAATTTATGGATTGGAATTAGGCAACAATTTTAGGATTCCATGTTAATAAAACAGGGATGAAAAAGCATTCATTCTAAAAAAATTTCTCACACCATATTTTAATTTTTCTACGTCAAGCTAATACCTGGGAAATTTTTCCCAGCTAAGCAAGGTGAAACTGATCCTTATTTTGTATTTTGCTTATGTGGGCACTAAATGAGGGATTTCATAAATATCTTACCATCTACCTGAGTTATTAACCATAATAAGCTTCCAAAGAGAAAATTCTCTGTCCATTCAAGAGTATGAAATTTAAAGAGGACTTAACATACTTAATTTGCTTTTTTTTGGCAGAGAGTGAAGAGGATTGGTTCATGATAGGATAACTCTTAGCCAAAAGGACATTTACTTGTAGAAAGCATAACATGAGCTGGCAATGCCAAACTAATGCTTACCATAGATATGCACGGAGGTGTTAGCAGATCTGAGTGACGGGCCACTCTTCACACGACAAGTATAAAGTCCTTTGTCTTTGTTCTGCACATTGTTGATAGTAAGAATACTATAGAACACATTGGCATGGGAATTGCTTTGGTCAATTCGTTGCCTTACAGAAGCTCTCTTAGTTGTCTAGAACGAAAACGTGTAACAAATGTGAAAATAGTACTTAGTCATGCTTGAAGTTATATCATTTTTTGCATATTTCACATCATATTTTGACAGCTGCTTCCATTTTAAGAGGAAGAGACATATCAAAGTCACCAAGCACAAGATACTGGGAAACTCTCTCTGTCTAGACGTGCTTCAAACATGTAGCACAGTAGCCTTTGGTTAGTACTTAATTTCTTCAAATGGACTTTCACATATCTTATCACAATTGTGATTGTAAGACTGGCAGAAGTATTTCCTTTTTAACCAAAGACGAAACTGAAGCAACAGAGATGTTGGCCAAAGTAGGCTAAGGACAGTGGTCTTTTGAGTATGAGTCTAGTGATTTTCCTTCCCCCAGCACACACCTCTCCAAACAGTAGTCTGTCTCCTAGCCATAGACATCACACATAACCGTGGTAAATGTTCTTCATCTCTAGCTTAATAAGTTACCATGTGTGTTTTCTTTTCTACGACTGGAAATGAAACAACAAGCTTCATTCCCACCCAAGGTGGAATATTCCTATTTCACCATAGGAGCAATATGTTCCAATTTCTGCTAAATCCTGCTAAGTGGATCTGTGACCTATAAACCCATGGATGAATTTAGCCAACATTCAAAGGGTACCGTCCCCTGTTTATCTCAGGGAAGAACAAGCGAAGGCCTTGACGCCTGGCAGTATGAACTGCGCATTGTGACCTGCTCACTGTTTTGAGAAGATGAAATTGTGTTGCTCTCTCCTTTAATTATTCATTTTACAACACATAATACATCATTTCCTGTGGAGTTGGGGTGGGTCATGGAAAAAACACTTTGAAAGCTGTCCAGACTGATTTTTGGGTCTTGAATATAGCTCTTCTCTTTGCTGTGTTTAATAAACTTTGACCCACCTGTCTTTCCCTAGTGGCACAGACATGTTTAGGAAATTTTCTGCATTCCCAGCAACCAGAGAGAAAAAGTCAATCACTGCCATCAAAACTCAGAGAATGAGTCCTGTTTGCAGGTACTACTTCTCCCTGTGGGAACTCTTTTCTTCCCAAGTTTGCATGACAGTGGCATTGTTTCTGCCTTGGAAAACAGCTTTGTGGAGTACTGCAGCCACCAGCCACTACGCAAATTAAAATTAACCCAAATAAAACATTCAGTTCCTCATTTGAGCCAGCCACATTTCAAGTGCTCTTCAGCTATATGTGACTAGTGGTTACTTTATTGGACAGCACAGGTATAGAACATTTCCATGACAGAAAGTTCTATTTGGCAGTGCCATTTTAGAGGGCTAACTGGCACTCAGTAAATGCACTATCAATACTCTCTCTCTCTCTTTTCTGTTTCGTGTGTGTGTGTGTGTGTGCATGTGTGTGTGTGTGTGCGTGTGTGTGTGTGTGTGTGTGTGTGTGTGTGTGTGTGTATGTGTGTGGTAATGGGGTTTGAACCCAGGGCCTCATGTTTGCCCTAGCATTTGAGCCACGCCTTTCTGTTTCAGTTTACTTTCCAAATAGTGTCTTGCATGTTTTCCCAGGCTGGCCTCAAACAGCAGTCTTCTCATCTCCACCTCCTGCACAGTTGGGATGACAGGGCCTTGTACTATCAATACTTGCAATCATAGCAACAACACTAATAGGACAAAAGTTTCTTCCCTCTTGGCATTTATTAAGACTATTTTATTTGTATCAAAATCCAGGAAATACTATTACAAGTCACAGCATTTTTATTTAAATGAAACAATCCCATTTTTTTAGAAAATAGTTTATAACTGATATGGTTTTGTGTCTCTCTACAGGGTTCTCATGACATCTTTTGGTTACTGAGTTATTCTGTTTCTATGGCAAGAAATGTTAATGAAAAGCAACAACAGTTTAAGGTTGGTGCAGTAATCTTTCGTACATAATTTAATCAAACTTTGATCGGGCAATCTGAATGACATAATAAATTATTGTACTTGGATTATGACACATAAATCATATTGACACCCAAGAAGTGGGAGCTGGTTTACTGTCAGAATTTTCTTAGCAGTTTATCATCCTTTTCTCATTTCTGTATTTTAAGTAATTGCAGGGATGGCCCATTTGAGTAAGGGAACACGACTCAGTCTCCATTCTTCTCATTTTCCTAAAGGACAGAATTGCTCCTTTGACATTTAACAAATGGAATACTGGATAGCTGGGTTGTAGTATCTTTTCCAAAATGCTCATCAGGTGCCTGACTGTCTGCCAGGACCTTCAATGAATGTGCCGACAAAGACAGCCTCCTGAAAAGTTGTTGCTGTTGTTACAAAGGACAATCCCTGCCTGGCATTTAGTGATAAATTTCTCTCTCATCTCTAAATCCTAAAGCATCATTTTCAAGAGTGAAACAATCCCTTTTTCCGCCCAGAATCATGCAACAGAAACAGTAGCTTGGATACTTCAAAACCCCCGACATCAAAAGACAGTGTCTGCATATCATACCCATGAAACACCAGGCCAGGAACGCATCCAACCCAGCCCAAAGCGTGCCTTTGAGTCACCCTGTCATAGGAATCAGAGTTTTCTGATTTTCCCATCTCAAAAACCCAGCGGGGTTCACTTGCTAAAAATAGTGTCCTTCATAAGAAATAGAAAAGTAGGTCACTCACTTTACCAGGGTAACTCCAGGTCATTTGTACTCTTGTGTTCAAGGCCGTGGTGGCAGTACAGTTGAGGACAAGAGTGTGACCACTGAGTAGTCTCACTGGGCTTGGTGGGCTTATTTGGACATCTATGATTTTATTGGCTGTAAGCATAAGAGAGAAATTTAAAAGTCAAGACTTCAGATGAACCTTGGAGCGTTTTTTGGCTCCCATTTGTGCTTGTGGTGCAGCACTTACTTTGCCGGTGTGTGAGATATCTTGTCTGATACACGTGGCCGTGGACTGCTGTTTCACAGGTCAGAAGCCCTATTTCTTTGTACGTTGCATTTGGTATTACAAAGCCCTTCCTACTGTCCCAAGTTATTCTTTGTCCATCAGGGATCAGAGTATCAAATGGAAACTGAAAAGGAAGAAACACCTTTAATGAAATCAGATTAGTAGTGTGATAAATTATGTAATTTATGATTAGCCTTGGCAACAAGCTGTACCCATCCAGGACAGACCCCTAGCTATCACGTCAGACTTCTAGAGACAGCCTGTAACTCTTTGACTTCTGGCACTCTTTGTGTTAAACTGACCTGGTTCTTAATAGAGAAACCAGTCAACACCTTTTCCTCTGGAGCTGCTGGGTTATCCTCATGTGTCTCCTTTATCTGGAACTTTCTTTTTTTTTTTTTGGCAGTACTGGAGTTTGTACCATTTAAGCCATTCCACCAGCCCTTTTTTGTGTCGGGTATTTTTGAGATAGGACTGGCTTCAAACTGAGATTCTTCTGATCTCTGCCTCCTTAGTAACTAGGATTACAGGTGTGCGCAAGCACACCCAGTCATGCAGAACTTTTAATAACCAGAACTCCATCCTCACATTTTGCACGGCTTACTGAAGAGGTGGCTGGCTGTCTTAAAAGACTGTCAGTAATTCACATCCTCTGAGATTCCTAAGACTAATGTGCCACTGGCTTCATAAGAAAGGCTTGTGGAACAGCCAAGACAGTCTCTGCAGGCTATCAACACTGTAAGGAATGAAGTATTCTCAGGTGTTCCAAGCACATGGAACCCAAAGGGCCTTCACCTTGAGCCACTCCACCAGCCCTTTTTTGCGATGGGTTTTTTGAGATAGGGTCTCGCAAACTACTTGCCTGGGCTGGCTTCAAACTGCGATCCTTCTGATCTCTACCTCCTGGCTCGCTAGGATTATAGGAATGAGCCACCAGGGCCCAGCCTAAGAAGCCATGATTTAATCCTCTACTTATGCCTTCTTTCAATAGCCTCTGTGTGTGTGTGTGTGTGTGTGTGTGTGTGTGTGCGCTGGGGATGGAACCCAGCATGGTAGCTCTCTACCACTGAGCAACACCCCAGCCCCCAGACCTTAATTTTTAAATACTACAATATAAACAGTCCACTTTAGGACTGAACTCTATAAAATATCATTGCTCCATAGATTGGCCCAGCCAAATTCTCTAGATACTAGGCTGCCAGGACAATTGTAGTCTCTGACTACAATTTCATTATCCTCAGTAGGAAAAGAAAAAAAAAAAAATCACAGTACTTTCTCCCAACAGATTATAAAAGAAACACCCAATAGCTCATAAAGACATTTAAAACTTTTTCCATCTCCTTTTAAAAGTACACCTGACACGCCTCTCTTTCTCCACTTATCACTTATTTATGTTGTTTGTTGAAGTTCTGAATCAGAATTTGCGATCCTGTGGCAAAAATTTGCAGTCCATAAGTCACTGGTGTGTGTCTCTCAGTGAGCATCTGTATTGGTATGTGCTGTCAGTGTTGCTTGGATTTAAAGTTAATTACATCCTGTTTATGAAGAACTGAAAGCAACTGGAGGATTCCTTTCATGTTTTTGGAAGTCAAGATTCAGGAATGCTCTGACTTCCGCGGGAAAAGAACCTTTTCTTCCAATTCAGTACAATTAAGGGAAAATCTCAGAAAAACATAAGGAGGCAGGAATTGAAAGCTATGATACTTTAAAAATAAGTGAAAACAAGCACATGCCGGATCTAAAAGAAAGGTTTGTGATGGCTTTTCTCAGCACAACTCAAAATAAGCATTTCCTTTAGGGTGTTTCTTACTCCAACCTATCCGTTGCGACCACTGGTACCATTCCATTGATGAAGTAACTTTGTTTTGTGCTGACAACAGCAAAACCAGCAAATGACTGTGACTCATCTGCTATGGCCACTGCTGTATGTGTCATAAAAGGCAGGCCAGTGGGCAGAGAGGTATCAGCCTAAGAAAAAGTGAAACCCAAATGTCTATAAGAAAATTATTCCAGAGAGACAAAACGATAAAACTTCATTCTGCTCATTTGCAGTGAAAAGTCCCTCAGAGAAGTATTGCTCAATTTTACCTTTTTGAGAGTTACAGTGATGTTAGGTGACGTAACCCGGCAGGGGATGACGAGCTCCTGTCCTTCGGTCAGATGTATAAGTTTAGGTATTTCACTGTGCATCTCTACGAAAGGTCGACCTGCATCTGCGTGACAAAAAATGAAAGATACATGTAAGTGACCGAAATACAAACCTGTAGATGCCAGAAATGATGAGGTAGTCAGGACACTGCCCAGTCACTTCGTCTTCCCCTGAAAGTAATCTGTACTTTCACCTACTTTGTCTCTGAACTTGGACTTGTGTGTTTTTACCTGGGAAAAGAACACTTCTCTAAAAAGACCAAATTTCTTGTTCAGGTCTTGGCTTTCAGTCAGATTGCCCTGGTGCCCTAATATGCAACTGAGATTTGAGGGACCTGGGCAAGAGCTATAGAAGTGCAATGAAAGAGAGGGTAGAATATTCTGCATAAACTTTTTACCACAGCTATGCTAAGGACCCCAGGAAATGCCCTCCAGAGCCTTTGTGATAACTCAAAGTGCACAGGTGCAATAAGGAAAGTCACCCCTTTTTGGAGAGTTTCAGGTGATGCAGGACTGTGACAAGCTAGAGTGGATTATCATTTGAATGACAGAAGCATGACTTAAGGGTTTTCTAGACCTTTCCTTGGGGACCAAGAATGAATGATAAAAGGCTGAGCTGCTGAGGGGGAGGGGAAGCAGGAGAACTGCCAGTGCTTCATCAGATGCGCCTGAGATATGTTTCTTTAACATGCACTACTTATCTATTAAGAGCAAAATATGTGCACATGCCTACAAAGAGGTCTGGCAAAGGCTTTAATCACCAAAATACCTCCTTTGAAAGTGTGGCATTTGGCTGTCTCAGAGACAAGGAGGATTCCCTGTGATTCTTCCAGAAACCAGAATAAGCATCAGATTTCACTGTCCACCTTGCCTTTGACCTCAGGAATCCATTGACATCATCACAACAAGCTCTTCAGGAGTCTTTGTGTTCTCATCTTCCCCCCTGTTGTGAACTCTTCCCATCTGGATCTGAAAGAACCAACTAGGCCCCCGCCCTGCTTGCTGGTCCTCTCTCAGATCGGCTTGCCTCTCTCAATCTGGATGCTAAGTGGAAAATGTCCTAAGCCCCCTGTACTTCTGAATGTGGCTTAATTTGGAAATAGGGTTGTTGCAAATGTAATTACTTAACCTAAGGAGAGTGGGCCCCTAGTCTAAAAGAAGACGGCCATATAAAGACAAAGACAGAAATTGGTGTGACATCTGCAAGCCAAGGAGTGCCAAGAACTGCTAAGGAACCACCCAAGGCTAGTAGCAAGAGGCAAAGATGGATTCCTCAGTGGGTTTCAGATGAGGCTTGGCCCTGAAAACACCTTGATTTCAGACTCAGAGTGGCATAGAAAAAAGACTAGAAATAAGTACACTTAAATGTGAAATACGATTATCTTTGAATGTTAGCTTCATGAGTTTTTTTCTCATTTATAAAATCTTGCATATTTGTCAGTCTTTCTAGATGATCATGTATCAGTTAATAATGTTTTTAATTATCAAAGCCCCAGCCATTTTAACCCAATGAAAACTACATTTTGCACTTGACTTAACATTGTATTCCAAATAGAATGAAACATTAACTGTCACAGTAAAGATATGTGTTTATTAGGAATTTTCAATGGGTGTAGAACACATGCAAAGAGGAAAAGTTAATTATATGGAGACAGGGATTCCTTATCAGCATTAAATTCCTCCTCTAAATAAAGTTGCTGAGTTAGACATTCAGCTAGAGACCACTGGGATTTGATCATTCCTTTCCTTCCTCCGGTGAGTCTATATTTTTGTCTCCTTTGTGAGTCCCAAGGTAAACACAAACACCAGGAAATGGTTTAATATATTTAACTAAACTGTAAATCCTTCATATTTAATTTACTGCCTCCTTTAACAACCATTTTGAACAAAGGACACTGCATAAAATGTTCTTCCAGGAAAATAGTAATCATCGGTGTAGTCATTTCTAGACTAATGAAATGTCAATTCCAAATGGAATTAGAAGGGCATTCAGTGTGCCTCTGAGTTTCTTCTTCCCCTTTGTCTCTTTCAATCCCCAAACACTTAAATTTTACTATAGCTATTAGCCTCTAAAAGCCATTTCACTGTCACGCCTGGGCCCACTACAATTCTGTTCAAAGACATCAGAACTTCAGTGATTTGTGCCTACTCAAACACAATTCAAAACACAGTATCTGTACGACAGTCAATAGTGGCATTATAAATACACTGTGTTTGCAAATGAGTTTATGATTATAGACACACATACACACATACACACACCAATACTCCCTGGGCTTATTAATAGTATATTTCCTCTGCAATTTACTTCAAGGAAGGGCTAAGAATGAACTTGCCTGACATAATACAAACATAGTTTGTTTTGTAGGACCATAGATACAGGAGAGGTCACAGTTCCATTAATATCACCAGTAAAACCACTTACTGCTCCCGTAGGACACATTTGTCTTTGTCACAAAATTAAAAATGACTACTGAACCCAGCCAACACTGCACAGTAGTTTCCTGAGACCAAATTTTCTGGTTGTTAAAAGAGTGAGGAAGAGCTAATCCAAAGATTGCCAGCGGACTGGTAACTCAAACACATTGTCACCAGGGACTAATGACAACACACAGCTAGGTAAAGGTCACACTGCTTTCACCTCTCTGAACTCCTAGAGCTCAAAGCAGGGACAGGAAACTGGCAACAAATATGAGGTTTTTCTCACCCAATGGGAGTATCTGGACTATCACTTTTCCTTCAGGACAAGTGGGCTTGTCACAGGGAAAGATCAAATAGGACCCTTGCTCAGAATGGAATTGTGTCTATTTTTAATATGTTTTTTCCTGGCACCGTAACATGTACAGACATAAAGGCCCTGGCATGCCATTCCCATTCTACTCCATTTCCAACTGGTATTATCTGAGTTCAGAGCACGGGAATGAGCCCCAAATTTAGGAAGCTTTTTTGACTTGAAAAGAGGCTCACGAGTAAACTTCCTATTTTCTAGCACATATGCATTTTTAAGATTTTTATAAACATTTTCCTGAGTTCCTTTTCCTTTACTTTAACTTTCCTCACCTCCAAGCCCTGGTCATGAGGATTCCGAGTATCTTAAAGAAGGATGTGGTTCTCATTTATTGAGTAAGAAGTGGAGAGGATGGCAACTCATTAACCAATCCCATGACATAAGAGTTTTCACATCATACAGGTCTTCATGTTATAGACTATACCTAATTCTGAAGGATAGTTTGTCAATTGGTGAAACATTTCATTTGAAATATGAGAATGAGAAAAGGAAAAGAAGCAAATTCCTCAGTGACTTACACTGTCCACTGAGGATGTGACAATTCGCACAGAGCTTTGGAGCAATCACAAGAAAGCTGGGATGGCTCTACTAACACCAGACAAAACAGACTTTGAAATAAGAAATGTTAGTACAGGTCAAGAGACACACTTAATAATAGTAAGAGGGTCAGTCTATCGAGAAGCTATAATGATAAATATATAGGCGCTGAACAACAGAGCACTGAAACTCATAGAGCACAGAATTGAAGGGAAAAATAAATGCTTCAACAATAATAGATGAAAATTCAGTATCCCCCTTTGGATAATGGACAGGACAACTGGACAGAAGATCAAAAAGAGAACAGGACATTTGAACAACACTACCATCCAACTGTACCTAACAGAATACTCCGTTCATCACAGCAGCATACACAGTTTTTGTAAGTGCACATGGAAAAATTCTCAAAGATAGAGCATATGAGAAGCCATAAAACAAACCTCAATACATTCACAAAATAGAAATAACACAAAGTGTGTTGTCTGGGGATGGTAGAATGAAATTAGAAATGAGTAACAGAAAGAAATTTGGGGAAATCCCAAAAATGTAGAAATGAAGCAACATATTCTTAAATAACCAGTGGGTCAAAAAAGAAATCAAAAGGAAAATTAGGAAATATTTTGAAATAAGTGAAAATGAAAACATAAATGTAACAAAACTTTTGGGATGAAGTGTTTACAGTGAAATTTACAGCTATAAATGTCTACTGAAAAAGAAGATCCAAACCTGATCTTTTACCTTATGATATTGGGTAGAGAACAGCAAACTAAATTTAAAGTGAAGAAATAATAAATACAAACGTGGAAACTAATGAGAGAATAGAACAGCAGCAGAGAAAACCAGTAGCCAAAAGCTGATTTTTTAAAAAGATGAACACAACTGACAAACCATTGTCCAGACAACCAAGGAAAAAAAAGAGAAAGGACTCAAATTACTAGAATCAGAAGTGAAACAGTGGACATTAGTGTTGACATTACTAAAGTAAAAAGCATTGTAAAGAAATGTAATTGTATGCCAATGAATTAGATAACAAAGGAAATGGACAAATTCCTAGAAAGATACAACAGGCTAGGAGAACTGACAAGAAAGAGACAAACCAAAAGACCTATAACAAGGGACTGAATTGGTAACTTAAAAACAAAACAAAAAAACTGACAAGAAGGAGAAGCCAAGGCTCAGATGGCAAGCGATTTCTACCAAGCTTAAAGAATACCAATTCTTTACAACTTTTCCAAAAAATAGAAGAGCAAGCAGAACTTCCAAACCCATTCATGGGCCAGTATTATAATACCAAAATGAAAGCCATCATAAGAAAACTGCAAAATACTATCTCTTATAAACATGGATGCCAAAAAACCCCTCAAAATAATAGCGAATTGGCATATTAAAAGCATTGTATACAATAACAAAGTGAGAGTTGTTCCAGGAATAGACTGGCTTAACATTTAAATATCAATCAGTGTAATTAATATACCATATCAACTACATGATTATCAGAATAGATAAAAAGTATTTGACAAAATCGACCTTCTTTCATGATAAAAACACTCAGTAAAGTAGGAATAGAGTGGAACTTTTTCAACCTAATAAATGTCATCTCCAAAAAGCCCACTGCTAACATTATACTTAATGGTGAAATACTGGATGTTTTCCTCCTAAGATCAAGAAGAAGACAGGGTTGTTCATTCCCGTCATTGCTATTTAACAATCCTAGAGGGGCTAGTCAGGGAAATTAGGCAA